ATCGTTGAAAGCCAAGTTGAGTTATCAAGTGACTGTATGATAAGTGTTCATTTGCGACTCGGTTTATCTCTCTTTGGCTTTGATCTCTCTCGCATGTCTCGTCGCAAGATTCCTTTCCGAGAGCTTTCAAATATGCACTCATCTTCACTGTACGATATTGCAGTTGTTTCACAGTTAAGGCAACAGAAGAGCAGAAGTTAATCTGCTCAGCTGACAGTTGAGTCCGAAGCGCGGCCTCGAGTTCACGCCACAGTGTTTGACTCTATTAGAGAGCTCTGATCCTCAGTCAATATGCAGCTGCAGAAATCTCATTTTCCTTCCTAGTGTTAAGAGACTGTTGCAACAGTGGCTTGGGAAGAGAGCCTTCCAAAGAGTATGAGGTTATTAGCACTATATTCTTTAATCAGCTTAACAGCTCAAGGGTAGATTCAGATTTTCAGTTTTAAAATATGCTGCTTGTTCAGCATTTCAGCTCCCTGAATTTAGGCCTGACCTGTTGCAACAGCACACGGCTGGCAGTAGAGTTCAAGCGCAGTGATGCAGCTGCAAGATCAAGGCATGAAGCTCATTCTTACCCGATCAATAGCTGCCAGGACTTCTGTGCAGCAGACTGGCCTCATATTTTCTTTGCAGGTAGGTGAAATTCTCAAAAGGCTGTCCCTACGTATGATTATTTTTCATGCTGCTCAAAAGCATACAGGTGTTTCAGCAATCAGGTATGAAAAAGATAAGGACGATTGCATTGAGAAAGCATGTTTTGTTCTGATGCTATTAGATGGAAAAGGGGCATGTGAAAGCTTTGTTTTTATATTAGTAGCCGGAAAGTGAATCCCAAAAGGTAAGGAAATCTGAGTGAAAGTTGTAAAAATACATCTGTTTCATCTAACGTGAAGAAACTAAAGCATGGGTCATTAACATGGCACCCATGGGTGCCAGTGTGCCCACCAGCACCTCCTTTGGCATCCATGAAAGGTCACCTCAATAAATATCCCCTCAAAAATTTTACATTGCACAAGAGGCTCCTTGTTCTTTCTACCCAATTTTTGTTTGTATTGCTTTGGTCCCAAGTACATGCTCCCATGGCAGCCATTTTGTGTTATGCTGAAACCCCTACAGCAGCCATTTTGTGACTTGTGCCCATGAAACTTCCTCAAAATTCCAAATCTGCCCATTGGCCCTCAAAGACTGGCGGCGCCTGCATGAAAGAATGTCAGTATATGGTCTATGCTACATAGTCAGCAGGTGGGCTTTTTGTGTAAAGACGCCAACCCAGAGGCCATATGTTGAACTGAGCAACGGTTGAAGGCCAGGGTGAGATGAAAATGAGGAGTGCTGACCAGCACTAGTGGCAGATATTGGGATTGTCCTGTCCAGAGCACCAGGCCTCAGCTCTGAGACTCAGCATAATCCACTGAACCAGCAGCACTGGAGGATAACTCAGGGCCTGGCATAGTGACCATGCATGAAGAAGAAGAAGAGTTTGGATTTGATATCCCGCTTTATCACCACCCTAAGGAGTCTCAAAGCGGCTAACATTCTCCTTTCCCTTCCTTCCCCACAACAAACACTCTGTGAGGTGAGTGAGGCTGAGAGACTTCAGAGAAGTGTGACTAGCCCAAGGTCACCCAGCAGCTGCATGTGGAGGAGCATGGAAGCAAACCTGGTTCACCAGATTACGAGTCTACAACTCTTATCCACTACACCACACTAGCTCTCTCAGGAGCCTCAACCCCAGCCTGGCAGATCACATACCCTCCAACATTTCTCCGATGAAAATAGGGATGTCGTAAGGAAAAGTGGGACATTCTGGGGTCAAATCAGAAACTGGGCGGCTTCTGTAAATTTCAGGACCATCCCTGGAAAAGAGGAAGAAGAAGAAGAAGAAGAAGAAGAAGAAGAAGAAGAAGAAGAAGAAGAAGAGGAGGAGGAGGAGGAGGAGGAGGAGGAGGAGGAGGAGGAGGAGGAGTTTGGATTTGATATCCCACTTTATCACTACCCGAGGAAGTCTCAAAGCGGCTAACATTCTCCTTTCCCTTCCTCCCCACAACAAACACTCTGTGAGGTGAGTGGGGCTGAGAGACTTCAAAGAAGTGTGAGTAGCCCGAGGTCACCCAGCAGCTGCATGTGGAGGAGCGGAGGCGCGAACCCGGTTCACCAGATTACGAGTCTACCGCTCTTAACCACTACACCACACTACTGGCTCTTGGAGGGTCTGAGATCAGAGGGTGTGGAGTCTGTGATTAAGTGTGATGGCAGCAGCTATGTCTGTTTCACTGCATGTCTGCTTTATACATGTAATGACTGCTTTATTCATGTACGTAGCAGGGTATGGGGTTAGAATTCAAAAGGGGTGGGTGAGGAAAGCTGAACCCTGTCTTCCCCTTCTCTTTTCCTATCCATATGCACCTGTCATTTCCAGTCAGGGGGCAGGGAATAGAATTCCTGGGACTGTCAGCTGTTGCTTGTCCTTCAAATGCTTTGACCTTCTCCAAAAGCATAGAACTTTTGTATGGATGCAACTCAGCACAATTCGGCTGGCTGTGAGCAATCAAGTCATGTACATGGGTGTGCGAATCAGCCCTAAGCAGAACTGAAATGAAGAGCTGAATTATCTTTCTTACGCACACCAATGGGATCTTTTCTCGGTGCCCGAAGCCAGAACAATGCAAACTGTAACTTCACATTTTCCAATGTGTCTAATAGGATGCAAAAGTTATACCAACTGCGCAAGGTGTTTAAAACAGAAACACAATTTGAGCAATTGCTATCTAATTACAAAACATGTTATGCTGCTAATTAACAAAAGAAAACAAATGCTGAAATGTATAAAATTACACCTTTTAAATTACTGTGTGAGATGAAAGCCTAGGTTACATTGGTAGCACAACTCATTCTCCATCCCCCACCCCAATCTACAAATTGGGGTGGAAATACAGCCTTCAGTTTGGCCCTTGAGACAATGCTCCTCTCGTAGGCATTCCTCATTGAATGCTTTTTCTTGGCTGGAATGCGCACATGAACTGTGATTATGACTCTTAACAGCCTGGAAGGGGTATGTCCCTGACTTGAATACAATCTATTGTACAAAGGTAAGAGCCACGTCCATTTGCTCTTTATAGAGAGAAACGACAAGGCTGTTTTGCATCTGGCATTCCCTGTGGCCAGCAAGCCAACCACTCTCTTACATTTTATGATTACATTTACAACCCATTTTTCTTTGAGTTTTCCTATGTGCCCATAGCAAACCTCACTGCTTGGCTCATGTTGCAATCGCCATTTGAGCACTGCCATGCTAACTATGCAAAGCTTTCATATCCATTCCCTATTTCATATCCATTCCCTATTTGAGTGGTCATTTGATGTCCTATTTCACAGGAGTGGATGAATGTGAATGTCTAAATTAAACATCCTTGCTGCTTGATGAACTTAAAAGTGATGAACTTAAAGCACAAGCATGCAACTTGTTTGACTAGTACCAATAAACAGAAGGAATACAATGCTACTCTTTATTTGAGTTATAACATTAATAGCAGCAGACAAGCAACTGCAATATTAATTCAATGACTAATGCAATGACATTTTTGTTTTTCTAGGTTTCCTCCCCGTATGTCTCTTTGCCACAGAAGACACAGCAATGTCATGGATGTGCTCTGCATACTAAGATTTCTCACTCTCCAAATGTCAAAGTTACATATGAACCTTCCTCTAACCTTCGATAGGAAGGCTGGCTTTCATTGCTACACTTCCTACAGTTCCAGAAAACTAACTTTCAAGGAGTTCTGTTGTGTCATTCAGGCATATTTTCCATTTATACCTAGATATACACATTGTTATGTTTAAGTTAGGGTCCATTTTTATATTTTTTTTTAAAAAATCACTTTTGATATTTTTAAAAATTGCAAATATAGGAGAAGCTATCTGTGACCATAGGTAGCAAGTCAAGGGTGAGGAACCCATGGTCCTTCATATATTTTTGGATTCGAATTCCTGTCATCCTTGACTGTTGGTCATGCTGGCTGTGAAAGGATGGATGGATGATGATACCTTGCCCACATGGCTGGGTTTCCCCAGCTACTCTGGGTGGCTTACAGCACATATAAAAACATCAAACATTAAAGATGGACACCAGCAGCACCTAGAGGGCCACAGGTTCCTCAACCTCGTAGCCGGTAATAAGGGAACACAGTTGACTGGTTGCTTTCCATGGTATCGATACTTGCATTTGGTAAGCTGGTTGTCATTAACATCCTGCCAAGTGGTGAGTAAATATCCTCTCTTTATATTTTTCCTGGATTTTTAGGTAAAGGAACCCATGACAGTTAAGTCCAGTCATGAACAACTCTGGGGTTACAGCGCTCATCTTGCTTTACAGGCCAAGGGAGCCGGCGTTTGTCCACTCCGCAGACAGTTTTTCTGGGTCATGTGGCCAGCATGACTAAACCCCTTCCGGCACAGCGGAACACTGACACCAGAGCAGTGCACAGAAACACCGTTTAGCTTCCCGCCAGAGTGGTACCTATTTATCTACGTGGACTTTTTGGCGTGCTTTCGAACTGCTAGGTTGGCAGGAGCTGGGACCAAGCAACAGGAGCTCACCCCGTTGTGGGGGTTCAAACTGCCGACCTTTTGATTTGCAAGCCCAAGGCTCAGTGGTTTAGACCACAGCACCACCCGTGTCCCTTCCTAGATTTCTAAACAGGTACAAAAATGTGGTAAGGCTTTCCTCCCTAATTGGGAAGCAGGGTGCAGTTTACCAGCTTACAAAGCAATTATGCACACTGCGGCAAATTGTCGCTTGACATTGGTTTGCATGGCCTTATGAAAGGTCTGCAATGCAGAAATGCAATGCAGCTCCAATGGAAGGGAATTCCATAGCTGTGGGGCCATCACAGAGAAGGCTCTCTTCCTCATGCACACCCACCTTACTGACTTAGGATGTGGGCACACTAGGAGAACAGTCAAAACAGTACTTAAAGGGTGGGCACAGTGTTTCCCAAACTTTGGTCTCCGGCTGTTTTGGGACTACAACTCCCACCATCCCTAATTAAGGGGTGATGGGAATTATAGTCCCAAAACAGCTGGAGACCCACATTTGGGAAACACTGGTGTAGACTGTCCAATAAATATTTTGGGCCCAAATTGTTAAGGGCTTTAAAAGTCAAACCAGCTCTTTAAAATTGGGTCCCGAAGCAAATCAGTCACCAGTGCAACTGAGGTAATAAAGGTGTTACAGACGCAGATTGCCTCACTCCCAATAGGACTCTGCAGCTGCGTCCTGGACCAATTTCTTTCACAGAGCACCTAACAGTGATCTAGTCTGGACATGATGAGAGCATGAATCACTTTGGCAATATCAGCCATGTGCAACCTCTGGCATAAGTCATCTACTAGAACTGGGAATGAACCCAGACCGGAGTGGATCTTGTAGTTTTTGTGTGGTGAGAATACATCCATTTTCTCCCAAATTTTTGTGGCAATTTCCCTCTTATCTGCTCCTGCTAACTGGTTGTGTTCTGGGCAAGTGGCAGTCTCAGTACTAAAGACCACCAAGATATCTGAGTAAGACACACTGATTCCTAGGGATCTGAAGACATCACAGCTGCAACCCTGCACATATGAGAGAGTCAGCCCCTCTTTAGCACAACGAGACTTGCTGCAAACTTGCAGAGGTTTGCACCGTACCTCTTTAAAATCAATGTTTCTCTGCAGCCACAACGGGCAAACTTTATTTAAATAAAAAATAAGATTCTTAGAAATCCAATAGCATCATCAGATTCATAACAAAAGACACGTATGCATGTTTAGTAGTACAACAATATCCACACATATTTATGACCCTTTCCTTAAATTTGGGCGTTATGCTCACACTGCCTTTAGGTATCGCCCCCCCTCTTACATTTGCCTGCATATTTCTTTATCTTAGCATTTCATCAAGCAACGCCTGCCAAGAAAACCATATGTTCCCATTTCTGTTAACCCGAGTGTTCCTTATGTTCCTTGTTGCTGAAATCACTCATTTGCTCTTGTAAGTTATATGAAGCAGAGACCTGGGCTCTTGTTTGCCTACTATCTTCCATGGATGGGATGCTTGTTTGGAAATATTGTACTTCAGAGGTACTATTAATATTAAAAGCAATGCCTTAAGAACCGCTGCCATTTCTAAAATTAAAATTGTATTGGTATTTCAGGCACCACATGCTTAAAAACTGAAAAGGAGCATTCTCACAAGGGTAAGATCATTTAACGTACTCGACCACACATTAGCAAAATAAATATAAGCCCTTACTTTGTTTTGTCCACTTAGCATGTTAAGTAGACACAGATTGTTTGTGTTGTTTAATACCTGCATAAATAGGAAAGAACAAATTTTGTTCATATTTTTATTTTGAGGACCTTGATTTTTCTGTATCTGATTCCACCTACCCACGCCGATCCATTAGAATTTCTATCTTGCATTTCCCAATATCTCTTTGCTATTATTTCATATGCAGTAGTTTCTTTTTTTAAAAAAATTATTAACCAATTTTCACATAACAATTTATCAATCCTCTTAATCAGTTACATTATTTTCCCCCTTCCTCCCAACCCTCCCTCCCCACACATCAAAGACTTTCCTCAGCTCCCCTCCCTGATTTCTTTACATATATTGTTTTCTGCATGTTGTAAAATTGTACATATCCTTACTTTATCTAGCACATGTTCAGCTAATAAGTTTGCGAATGTTTATTCAAATCCTGCCAAAGAGTCCAATTCATTTTGTTGTCTTTTTAGTTTGTAAAAAGTTCCCATTCTTCCTTGAAGTCACAGTTGTCCTTTTCACGTAGTTTATGTGTCAATTTGGCCAGTTCCACATAGCTCATCAATTTTTCTTGCCCCGGTCTTTCACTGGGACTTCCTCATTCTTCCATCGTTGTGCTAACAAGACTCTTGCCTCTGTTGTAGCATACGTAAATAAGTTATTTACTTTTCTTGGCAGGTTTTGTCCTACAATCCCTAACAAAAATGCTTCTGGTTTTTTTACAAATGTCAATTTAAACATTTTTTTCAATTCATTATATATCATTTCCCAAGTTTTTTTAACTTCTCTACATTCTCACCACATATGATAAAAATCCCCTTCTTTTTCTTTACATTTCCAACATGTGTTTGACCAAGTTGTATACATTTTTGCTATCTGTACTGGTGTTATATGCCATCTATACATCATTTTCATGTAATTTTCTTTCAAAAGAGAACAGTCTATAATTTTTAAATCTATTTTCCACAGTTTTTCCCAGTCCTCAAATTGTATATTATGTCCTATATCTTGTGCCCATATGCAGTCATTTCAATTTGCATTTCCCCCCACAATAGTTAGGTGATGCTAATTGTGTCAGGAGAGATCAATGAAACATGCTGTATTCTTGAACTTACACTGCACAGCCAATAAAGAGATATATGTTGTTTTCATGTGCTGCATTGCTTTTCTCCCCAGCTCCATCACCGAGGTAAGGAGGTATCTCCAGGTTCTGTCCTTTAACCATTGAGAAATCAAGACAAGGTCCAGTTTCACTTTGTAACATGAATTCTGCAAGACTTTGAAACATACCAAGTTGGTGTAGATTGGGGTGAGGAGACCACCAAGCATGGCCAATGGTCAGGGATGTCCAATGGACATTGTAGTCCAAAACAATTGGAGGGCATCTGGTTGAAGGAGGTTGAAAATGCTTGTTTTACCTCTGAAATGTTTACACTGAGATATAAACTTCACTCCAGACTTGAAAAATCTCAGCTTTGTTTTAACTTGGATTTAAATGGATGCCTTTTTGGTATTTCCCACAGTTCGTTATGAGTAAACAAATGGTCTAATGTAGCTCAACTGAATGTCAATGAAGCTAACTCATATATTTTTTTTAACAAGAGAGAATTTGGGCTGTGTAAGAGTCCAATGACTGGGATTTCTGTTCCCCCACCAAGGTTTCTCGTCTTATCTCTCTCAAACCACCTTTAGAGTTTTGTCTGATTACACATTTATTTGAAGATTCTTTTGAGGGTTGTTGGTTGTGTTTGCTGTTGTTTTTTTTTACATTTAATGAATAAACAGTTTGTTGAATGGTAACAAGGGAACAACCCAGGAATGTTATTGTGGGAACAAACAGAACTGGTCACTGAAAGTAATGATCAGGGAGAATGCTCTAATGAAAGTTTGGGTGGGGGGGAGTCTCGTTGTGATAAGACCTAATGCATTACAATAAATTGCTGTTTCTTGCCAATAGTTCTATTCTAATTTAAAGATCCTAAGCCCTTTCAAGTGAGGAATAATTTGATCTGTATGCTATTTTCATCTTGGCGCTCTCTTTTGAAAAGAGACAAATTGTTATAAATTATATGTAGTGTTGCACTCGTTTGATTGATTGCTGAGGAAATCAAGCTATTTCACTTAGATGTTTTTTTGTGGATTGAACCGTACTCCCAGAAATAAGACAAACACTTCACACTGAGCCTTTCAATTCCTGTTGCTTTGTCTGGAGTCTACTGGGATTATTATTTTTTAATCATCCTGCCACCCCCATTTCTCCACAGGATACCCTCGTTTTATTTTGCAGGTCTGCCAATGAACAGAAGTAGTTGTTGAGACGCTAATAATATATATTCCAGAGTTTAATTTACCTACAGGAAAGCAGATTATCATGGGCAGTTTTGATAAGCAAGCAGGTATTTAAGATTTAATAGATCTGAAACCATTTGAAATGGTTGATTATATTGGGCAATTTATTACCTCTGCCCTATTGCATTATACTAAGCAGCATATATTTTAAGTAATATATGTATTGTATTTTTTTTTTAAAAAAACCAAAATCAAAATCTAGGCTATGATGTTATTGGCAGTTGATATACAAAAAAAGAAGGAAAGATGCAATGATCAAAAAAGAAGGAACAAGGATAACAAGGAATGGGAACTAGACTGTCTTGAACCCATGAAACAATCTCCACAGTAGCACAAGAACATTGTAAAACAAACTAAAATTGAGGTGCTGGTCCCACAAAGGTGGTAGTCCAGGGAATTAGTGGGATCCAGCAGCAATGAAACAATGTGATGTTTTCAGTAAAAGAGTTCTCCATGCGATATAAATTGTTATTTCTGGCGGAATTGTGTCCAAGCAGAAATAAAGCAGAGGCACACAAACAAACTAATCTGCCTTCTATCAATAAGATAAGCATGCCAAAGTTGCAGTATCTGAAAACTAAGGATGTTGTGGTGAGCTTCTTACAGCATTGAAAAATAAATCAAAATTATATTATAGTTTACAAGTTTCAATTACATTACAATACCATCTTTGAAATATGTCATCAAGGGGTTGTTCTGCTGTGAATGCATATTATCGATCTAACTAATTCCAGAGCGACTTTCAGAATTTATCAGAAGAGACACAGTCCTTAACAAAATCTAGTCAATAGTGATAATGCTGCCTTTGTACGGACCATTTGTTTCCTCAACATATAACGAAATACCAAAACAATTACAACGGGGAGTGGATAAGCATGTTGTATAATATAACTGTCAGACAGCTTGTGTTCTGCTTAAAAAACAAACTATTTCACAGAAAAGCTCTTTATGCAGCCTAACCATTTGCCATTTCAAAAGCAAGTTTGACAAAAGAACTCTGCTGGAGGAAAATACTCAAAATATGAAGATCAGTCCTTATGTCTGGTGATAGTAGAGGCTGTGTACATGGCATTTATGAACGCTTCTGGCAGAGTCTAAGCATTGTGCAGCACTTATAAAAGTGCAAGTTCCACAGAATGAAGCAATCGAATAGGCATGTAAGGGGTTAAGGTGATCCATTAAGTAACCTGGTCCCAGGCTGTTTAGGGATTTATATATCAATAGTCATATCTTGACCTTGGCTTGGTAAGAAATTTCCAGTGAGTGCAGATCTTGGAGTACTGGGGTAATATGCCAATGGACTCACACTCATGTCAGGAATTGTGCTGCATGATGATGATGATATGTAGCCCATCTGACTAGGTTGCCCTGGCAACTCTGGGTGGCTCCCAACAAAATATTAAAAACACAATGAAACATCAACCATTAAAAACTTCCCTGAA